GTTCTGTAGCCCCCATCACAAGACAGACATGGAGCAGTTAGAACAAGTCCAGAGGAGGCCACCAGGATGATCCGAGGGCTGGAGCACCTCTCCTATGGGAACAGGCTGAAAGAGTTGGGGCTGTTCAGCCTGGAAAAGAGAAGGCTCCAAGGAAATCTTATAGCAGCCTTCCAGTACCTGAAGGGGCTACAAGAAAGCTGGGGAGGGACTTTTTACAAAGGCAGGTAGTGATAGAACAAGGGGTAATGGCTTTAAAATGGAAGAGGGTAGATTTAGATTAGACATCACCATGTCTCCCTGATGCCAATCAGGTTGTAGCCCTGCAGGCACGCACACATCTCCAACTCCTCTTGTTTATTCCCCCTGCTAGGTGCATTAGTATAGAAGCATTAAGTTGGGTCCCCAGTGAAGCTGACTTACTGGCTGGAGCATCTGGAATTCCATTGTGGTGCTCTTCAGGCATGCTCCCCCTAGGTTACTGTTAGCAGGTCCAGTTACATCCCCTTCTCCCTTCCAACCTAGTTTAAAGCTCTGTCAATGAGCCCCTCTAATTCTTGCCCCAGGATCCTTTTTCCCTTCTGAGACAGCTGTATCCCATCTTTTGCCAGTAGCCTCAGTGCTGCGTAAACCTCCCCATGATCAAAGAAACCAAAACTCTACCTGTGGCACCAGCCTCTAAGCCATGTGTGGATCAGGTGTACCTTCCTGTTCCTGTCAGTAAACCTCCTGCCACTGAAGGGACTGAGGAGAACGCCACCTGTGCTCCTGATCCTGCAATCAGTCTCCCTAGTGGCCTGAAGCCCTTCTTAATTGCTTTTGCACTTTTCTCTGTAATCTTGTCACTACCAGCTTGGATGACCAAAAGTCGGTAGTAGTCTGAGGGCCACACCACACCAGGGAGGTTCTTACTAATAGCCCTAACCCAGGCCCCAGGGAGGCAGCAGACTTCCCTATCAAAAAGAGTACTAAACATGTTTAACTCCCCCCCCTTCCTTTGTGACTAAGTATTTATAATTATAATACAGAGTGAATCAGGTAGATTGACCATAAGAGGGAATTAGACTTGACAAACTCAAATATTTAAGAGCAAAGGGTGTCCAGACCCCGCACAGCTGACACAATAGAGGGATCTGAACAGCAATTGACTCGCGTTATGTATGATTGACACCTATAGATGAGAACAAATACATCAAAATGGTAATCTTTGCCTGAGCTTTACAATGCAAGACAAGAAATGTAAATTCACACTATCTAAAGCCCAAAGACTGTTCTAAGTTATTAAACAACCAGTGCTCAGCTAAAGCTTTTCTGCCAAGAAGGAAAACCTGAACCACAGACACCAAAGAGATGCAGAATCTACCCTTTCCTTTGCAATATATTTGGTGATTCTTGCAAGGTACATGATCTGACACAAAATTATTTTAAAACCTGGATGGGTCCTGCTTACCAAAGGATCCGTACGACTTTGTGCAGAGATCCTCTCCTGGCCATCATTTACTTTTCCATCAATATTTGTGACAGCCACAAATATAACAGTAGTGATTTTCCATTCTATTCCAGAACATAAACGAGAAAGTGATGGAGCTTTAGGCCACAGCTGATGTGGTCACTACAAAACAATTAGAGCTGTGCAAAAAATTGTTATTTTAAACCTAGAAATTATAGCGTTTTTTGTTTAGTAATATGGCAAGACTTAAAATTAAGTCTTTGAATTTGCAAGCAATAGTAATTGCTGAAAGAAGCTAGTGATGACATATTTAGGGTCTGCTTCAGCTCCACAGTTTCTGATCAACGGGGCAACTAGCTATTTCAGTTGGCAACTTCTGCCTCATAACATCCACCTTGAAACTGGTCTGAAATTGTGAGCTGGAAGTTGTACTTTCACATATAGATGAGTAGAACTAGATGGAGAGAAGCTGGAAGGGGGTTTTCTTGCACAGTATTCTGTGTAACTTCCTAGGCAATTTTTTTTTATTTGGAAAAAATTTTCCTGAGCCCTTTGGGGTGAAAAAGATATTTCTATGATCCTACACACTGCCTAACCTTAGTGAGATAGAAAATTTTGTATTTAATTTAAGCAAGTGAAGGGGAAAAACCCTCTCAGTATGTGAATGATCCTCTCTGTACTGCTTTCTTATGCAATTTTCAAGTCAATTGGACTTTTGCTTTGAAACTGTCTCTTATCAACAGTCCAAAAGAAAGTGTGTGGATTTTTTCTTTTTCCCTGGCAAATGCTCATGAAGCACAATTATCCAGTTTGTTATCCTGCTTTCTGATAGCTTGTCTTTGCTACAACACCTTTTCTGATCATATCTGTTCATCCTGCCATAGCATTTCCCCTCCTTTGCAAATGAAATTTCACCAAGGGTTCTGCTGATGGAAGAAAGTTGAATCTTTCATCATCTAAAAGAGATGCCGATCACCAGCAGGTATTTTCATAGAAAGAATCTTTATCTTCTCTCCTTCAGAAAGAGACAGATAGCACCACTATATCTGTGCCACAGACAAACCCACAGAGCAGAGAGCACTATGATTTGCATTGGACATTCCTTTTCCACCTCTGAAGTGCTATGGGACTAATCTTCAGGTTCAGCAAGGTTGGCCTGATGCTTTCTAGTCTATGTTGAAAAATATACTTGTATTTTCACATAGTTTTGATCTTCCCTTTACACATAGCAAGTTCATGCTTGATTGTTCAGTCATTAGTTTTCTAAACATCCCAAGCATGTGGACACCCAACCTGCTGTGGAGTTTACTTCAGAGCAAAATGTCCTTTGGAAATCAGAAGTTGCATCTTTTATACTGTGACTCCTGTTGCAGTAATAATTTGTGAAGAGGTTTTCTAGCTACTAGAGAGTGTCCAGAGAAGGGCCACAAAATTGGTGAAGGGCTCAGAGGGGAAGCCGTACAAGGAGAGGCTGAAGTTGCTTGGATTATTCAGACGGGAGAAAAGGAAACTGAGAGGAGATCTCATCGCAGTCTATTACTTCCTCACAGGGGGAAGAGGAGGGGCAGGTGCTGATCTCTTCTCTCTGGCTACCTATGATAGGACCAGGGGACATGGTGAGAAGATGCACCAGAGCAAGTTTAGGTTGGACATTAGGAAAAGGTTCTTCACCCAGAGGGTCGCAGAGCACTGGAACAGGCTCCCCAGAGAGGTGGTCAGGGCACCAAGCCTGACAATATTCAAGAAGCATTTGTCCAAGGCCCTCAGACACATGGTCTGAATCTTGGGATTGTCCTGTACAGGGACAGGGGTTGGACTTGATGATCCTTGTGGGTCCCTTCCAACTCACAACATTCTATGATTCGAATGCTTTTCCTATTTCTCCTTCCTCCATATTCTTACGGTAATAGCCCATTATGGCACCAGGTGATACATATGTAATGTATCAGCAGAAGTTTTTGTTTTTAAAGAAATATAATGCAGGACTCTGAGCTCAATGAGAACACTGAACATGGCCAAAAACCTTTGGGTTTTTCTATACTTCTCCCATTTTAGGTCTGCAAACCCATTTAGGCACAAACCCCTAGAGTCTGGGAACATCTGATATTTTATGACACACTATGTTACACATAGACAAAGGCTTCATGCAACTTCAGGGTCCTATCAATCACTTTGAAATTGTGGCTAAGGCAGCATAAATACAGCATTTGGCTGCCCCTGAATGGGAAGGTCTCACACCCACTTCCTTTGTGTCCATAAGTTCCTGTTCCCTCCTCAGAGGGGATCTAATGATCATGTTACATCAGGGTGAGCTCACTCCACTCACTCCACTCATCCAACAAAACCCGGTCTGCAGGGTTTTTGCAGGCTTAGCTTTATGGTGGATCATCCTACTAACCAATTTATCATACCATAGCTAGGTCTATTGCTAATAATTTGAATGGTTATGTGTGTGGTATGACTTTCCATAGCAGCTTATCATTAAAGCAGGTAAATTAACATTTATCTGTAACTGTAGTAGCATTAGTTAAAGTGGTATAAGCAAGGCAAATTTTAGTATGCAGTGATCTGTAGTAAAAGAAGACAGGAGAGCTACAGCTCAGTCAGGGAATTCAGATCTTTATGATACTAAAATATTTGTGAACATGGTATATTCATAAAGCCCACAAGGCACTACAGCAATTTACCTAGCATTATTATTATTCTAGAAAAAATTTTTTACTTTTTTCTTTTTTTTTTTTTTCCCCTCAAAAAGTCCATTTCCAACAAGAAAATAATAATTTTTGGCTTAGTTCTAGGATCAAATAAAGGATCAGCAAAC